AGCAGCGTTGTCCCAGTTTATTCGCATCCCCATCTGAAATCTACCCAACTAGCTTTTTCACTTATAATACCCGTCTAGCTTTTATGGCTGTTATCAAGATTATTGCAATTTCCGTGTGTTGCTATTACTGCCCGCTAGGAGATTCAGCGCTTCTCCCAGCCTTGGTCACCGTTCGTTTACAATCAACATGGATACGCCTCGGTAGTAGGTCCCGTACGCACAGCCAGCGTTAACTTCGCCGGCCGCGGATCTGGTCGTGCTCGTGAGCACCCCCTCCTGCGCTCAGATAGACCCGCTTGGGTCAGCATCTCCGAGATTGTTCGAGACGCCGTCGCGCGTTTGCCCAACGGTGAGGGCACGCGACCGGAAATCGCAATGCTCGTCCAGGATAGTGCCTTTCTGGCGCCTAACTTCAACCCCCGCCAGGTTTCACCCAGTTTTGAATCAAAACATCTACTAATAACACCACAGGGGCATGTCCCATGGTCCATTTAACACGCATTGCCGCATTCGTGTTTTTTTCCCTCCTAGCTCAGTCAGTGCATCAGCTCTGCACTAGATAGGCTACAAGGTGAAGGTACACAGTCGCCCGTAATGTACGACTGTTCGCGCCGTTTGTGGATTTACCGCTATCGCCACTTGTCACCTGGAGACTTCTGTAAGTTGTTGGCATGCGTTTACCTACTTTAACAAGGCAGATGTCAAATATATTAATATATCACTATATTATTAACGTATTATTAGGTTTCTTGCCCGCATGTAACTGCCGCCACGTGGCATGTTTGTGCTCAGACCTGAAAACGTACATTCGCCGCTTTATTGAATATGTGTACGTGCAGGCTAGTTGCTTAAAGGAAGATAATTATGCTGCCAGTGTAACTTTCCATCTTTACTAAAAGCTTATAGTCCACATAGGCGAAGCATAGCAACCAGTACTCAGTAAGGGTTGTCAATAAAAAAAGGGCTTTGATATGGCCGTTTTTTGCTTCCCTGTCGTCATTGGCATCCCAAGTCCACTTGCTAACACGAACGATCGAGCAATTTTTTCAATACCAAATGGAAAACGAATAGGGACTCTATGCGTGTGCTCTCGATAAATTATCTTCAGACCAATGTATTAATAGCTATTGAAAGCAGTGAAAGCCACAGCTAAGCAGAAAAGCCTGCTAATGCTGGAATGGAGAGGGAGGGGCTTAAAACACAAGTACAGTAATTTTGCTTAAAACGAGTAATCAGGAAAAGCGCAGGTATATAGTTTCATTGTTGGTGGGGAGGAACGATTATGTAGCAAGGTCGGTTGACTCCCAAATGGAATCATGGCATTTTTAACGAGCGTTCAAATGGAGGAAATCTCTATGTTGTTAGGGTCTGGTGGAAGGGGGTAAGATTGGCTGTCTGGGAAGCTTAATGAATCACCAGAGCCATCTTTCTTCGTTCCAGACCCGCTGCCTTCATAGTTTGCAGGGCTGACGTGGGCACTCCAACCCACCAACAGTAACTGACTTCTCGTGAGATTCTGAAATGCCTTTTCCAATACGAGGGGGTACTTGAAAAGGGGGCGTTAAAAACAAAGTATCGGGCAGAATGGCTCCGAGCTGCTTCAGTCACCAGAACATCGGCACTCAGTAAATAGGCCTACTTAAGCAGTATAATTTTTTTATAATTTATCCTTTTAACTTAAAGTATATTTTATAGAAGCCATCGAGCAATGAAGCTGCCATTCGATGCAAGCTAACATGAGAAGACATTAAGATTGTCTGATTGATCCGAGTCAAGTATATGTCGATTACTCCCATTTCATGAAGTTCTGAAAGCCCCCGATTGACTCTAAAAGTTGGCCTGTAAAAGGAGTCAAACTCAGTAACCAAACTTGGAAAATAAATAGACGACAACTGAGGGCAGTACTAGTCCGGATTTGTACTCAGACGCCGGTGATATCGTCGTGCTAGCCTCAAGTTTTGATGATCTTAAGTCTGTAGTATCACGAGTGAGTGAGATCGCTACGTCGGTTTTTTTTATCCACAAATACTAGTTGCATCTCTGACCAGGAGAAGGCATCCTTGGGGATTAATGGCCTTTAATTTGAAGAAGTAGGCAGCTTTAAATACTTCGGGGTGAGGCTGCTACCAACTGGACAGAGTAAGGACGATATTGTCTCCCTAATCGATGCTGCTTTCCGGGGTTTCTCAATCCTCTCAAAGCGTCTATGGATCCGACGCGACATCTCCATCGCCGCGAAGATCCGTGTGTACCATGCATCCGTCCAGTCAGTCCTCTATGAGTGTGAATGCTGGGCTTTGCGGGTAGAAGACGAGTGAAAACTGGAGGTATTTGACCACCACTGCCTAAGGACCATTCTTCGAGTGAAGTATACCGATATCGTCTCCAATGAGACACTCCGCACTCGCTGTGACAGTATCGCGAGGATATCTCAGACCATCCAAGAAAGACGACTAAGGTAGTTTGGGCACGTTCTCCGTCATTCGCCTCACGAGGTTTGCTATGCTGCCCTTGATTCGGCGCCGTAGCCGACCTGGAGGCGTCAAAGAGGAGGGCAACTCAAAACTTGGCTCGACATCGTCCGCCAAGACATAGAAGTAGTTCTTGGATCTTCAATCTTCGGTCTCCATCACTGGAGAAAAGGATGGGTGGAGCTATCCAGATACACTGCCGCTAATCGTTGTGCGTGGAGAGGTGCCGTCCGTGACATCATTGAAGCTGGCTAGATCAGGCATGCTCACAGCCATATCAAGTACAAGTAGTGGGTGGCTGTGTTTTGCCCTTCCGCTCGTGATGTAGCCTCTGCGATGATGACCACCTCCGCGTTGCATTTAACTACCTAATGGTTCGAAAAGCCATTTGTCGTCCACCGCTCTTTGCTTACCCGCTAGACGTTGTACAGTTCGGCGCATTAGTCTGTGAACTTACTCCCAGGACCGAATATGTCGAGTTATTCCGTGGTATTGTCCCACTTGTACTT